ACATAAACACATCTCCCCTCAACCAAGGATACATGCCAAGACAGTACCAACCCTACAGATGCTATGTACAATCCCCTGGAGAAGGGAATGGCAATACACTCCAGTGTTCTTACCTAGAAAATCCCATGGACAGAGGAGCCTGGTGGACTGCAGTCCACAGGGTCACAAAAGAGTCAGATACAACTTAGCAACTAAACAACAACAATACACAGGTGTCTTCTTTTCTTATACATGCATATCTATGATAAAGTTTCATTTATAAATTAGGCACAGTAAGATATTAACAACAATAACTAATTATAAAGTAGAACAATCATAACAGCATATTGTAATAAAAGCTATGTGAATGTGATCTCTCAAAATATGTTACTATACAAATTTAATACCTTTTTCAGCTTAACTGGGCACTCATCATGCACTATGGCTGTAACTTGCAATTTGAGATGCAGCAAGAAAACTAGTACAAATTTCTTTTTCCTTCTTCACAATTTCAGGCTGAAGACTCATCCTCACCATACATCTTAGCAATCTCAGCATACGATCGTTTTCTTTCCTTATTACATTGAGAATATTCACCTTTTCACTTTAAAGAAGCACTTCATGGCTTCTCTTTGGCATATCTGAATTACCAGCATCACTACTCTTGCATCTGGGGGCCATTATTAAGTAAAATAAGCGTTCCTTGAACACAGTCACTGTGATCTGGCAACACTGATGACCATGGATCTGATAATGGCGTAACTAAGAGACTAACTGGTGGACACGCTGGACAAAAGGATGATTCTTGTCCAGGGCAGGACAGAGCAGGAGGGCGTGAGATTTCATCATGCTACTCAAAATAGCCTGTAATTGAAAACTCATGAATTATTTCTGGAATTTTCCATTTAATATTTCCAGACCAAGGTTGATGCCATATATCTCAAACCATGTAAAGCAAAACCAAGGAAAAAGGGGGAACTGTTGTACATATGCTGTACATATGTTGTACATACTACCAGCATTTATTAGTCTTCTACATGAAGTGGGGCTGCCCTTGGAGTTGTCTAAATCCCCACCTTCAAGAACCGTAATCTAAAACAACCTTGTCCTGAGGAAATGAAAATGACTAATATAGCACACCTAGTCTTCCCTTGACTCTGTGACTTAATTACCTGAAATAAAGCTTACTGTGAAACATTTGCTCATCCAGGTGTGTAATTCGTATGTTAAAGTCTTCCAAAAACCAGAGGAACATCTGTGATTTTCCCACTTTTCTAATCAACCCATATCAAAGCATTGATTCTTCTCAGTGATCCTAAGGGAGGGTTTGTCTTATCAACATTTAATAATCAATACTCATAGCAAAGTAAGTGCTACCTCAGGCCAACAGGTCTTAGTGGTCATTAAAAGCAAACAAACAAACAAAAAAAAAAACAGACAATTAGGAGTCCTGAGCTTTGGAAGACTTCCAATTCAGGCAGAACTTATAAAGATGGAAGTTTTTTCTAAAGGAGAAAATAGTCATTATTTCCTTATATTAAAAAATGAAGTAGAACTGATTTCCAATGTTGCATTAGTTTCAAAGTATAGAGCCAAGAGATTTGGTTATATATTCATACACATTCTTTTTCAGTCTCTTTCATTACAGGGTATTACAAGATATTGAATATAGTTCCCTGTGCTATACAGTCAGTCCTTGCTGCTTATCTATTTTACAAATATATACAGTTGTGAGTATCTGTTAAACCCAAACTCGTAATTTATCCCCCCCATCTCCTTTCCCCTTTGGTAACCAAAAGTTTGTTTTCTATGTCTGTGAGTCTATTTCTCTTTTAGAAATAAGTTCTTTTGAAGTTCTTTTTTTTAGCTTGAACATATTGGTGATAACCATTACTTCTAATGCCATGTTCTCTCCCTTTACCCCAAAATTCACAGTATGTTTAGTTCTCATATAAAGACATACTAAGTTGTCCTCCTCATTTATCTGATTCTAATTATCAAAACAAAGTCCTGATCCCTATAAACCTTAAACGCCTCTTAAGCTAATCAACAGCAAAAAAAAAAAAGATAATCAACTGCCAATCAAGGTGTACAGAGTGCCTTCTTTGAGTTCGATGAAGTAGGTTATCGGTACACTCTGCACGAAGAATTTACATTAATCTGTACTACTGCCAATGAAGCAGATGTAAGATACACGGGTCTGATCCCTGGGTTGCTAAGATCTCCTGGAGAAGGGAATGGCAACCTACTCCAGTATTCTTGCCTGGATAAACTCCAGTATTCTTGCCTGGAGAATCCCATGAACAGAGGAACCTGGTGGGCTACAGTCCATGGGGTCACAAAGAGTCACACATGACTGAAGCATCTTAGCATACATGCATACACTCCTTAGAAGCACTGACCTATCAGGAAAATTCAACCAGGTATAGATAATCAAAAGTACTTTTAATAAACATTAAGTAAGTTCAAAGGGCACAGGATGTGTTTCAGAAATAACAAGTGACCATGAACAAGTTACTTCCCTATTTACAGAGGGTTTCGCCTATTAAATGAAGGAACTGGAACACATGGTCACTGTAATCCCATCCAGTTTCAAGTCTCAATGACTCTGAGACCATAGGCTAAGCATAAATAGTAGGAAACACAAAACTACTCTAGGGATTTCCCTGCGGTCCAGTGGTTAAGAATCCCCACTTCCACTGCAGGGGGCATGGGACTGACCTTTGGTTGGGGAACTAAGATCCTGTATGCTCCATGGTGCAGCTAAAAATTTAAAAAAAAAGAAGAAAATAGAAAACTACTCTAAGTAAAAGGATTGGCCTGTAATATACATCAGAGACAATAAATATATATCAGTACACAGGGACAGGCTAACCATCTCCACAGGAATTCAGAAAGGGACAAGATCAATGAAGGCTAGAGCAGTTCTCTAACTGGATATGGCTTCTGTAAGATGGGAAAAGATGTGGATACCCAGAGAGTGGACAGGCTCCCAAGCAAAAATAATAGCATAAGTAAAGTCAGCAAAGAAAAAAATGAGCAAGAAACAACAGATAAAACTGGACGTGGAACAATGGACTGGTTCCAAATTGGGAAAGGAATACATCAAGGCTGCATACTGTCACCCTACTTATTTAACTTATATGCAGAGCACATCATGCACTGTGCTGGACTGGATGAAGCACAAGCTGGAATCAAGACTGTCAGGAGAAATATCAACAACCTCAGATATGTAGATGGTACCACTCTAACAGCAGAAAGTGGAGAGTATCTAAAGAGTCTCTTGATGAAGGTGAAACAGGAGAGTGAAAAAGCAGGCTTAAGACTGAACATTCAAAAAATGAAGATCATGGCATCTGGTCCTATCACTTCATGGTGAATAGATGACAAAAAAATGCAGTAACAGACTTTATTTTCTTGGGTTCCAAAATCACTGCAGACAGTGACTGCACCCATGAAATTAAAAGATGCTTTCTCCTTGGAAGGAAAGCTACTACAAACCTAGACAGTGTACTAAAAAGCAGAGACATTACTTTGCCAACAAAGGTCTGTATAGTCAAAGCTCTGGTTTTTCCAGTAGTCATGTACAGATGGGAGAGTTGGACCACAAAGAAAGCTGAGCACCGAAGAATTGATGCTTTCAAACTGTGGTGTTGGAAAAGACTCTTGAGAGCATCTTGGACAGCAAGGAGACGACACCAGTCAATCCTAAAGGAAATCAACCCTGAATATTCATTGGAAGGACTAATGCTGAAGTTGGAACTCCAATACTCTGGCCAACTCAGAGTATTGTGAGTTGTGACGAGCCAACTCACTGGAAAAGACCCTGATGCTAGAAAAGATCGAGGGCAGGAGAAGGAGGCAATAGAAGTTGAGAAGGCTGGATGGCATCACTGACTCAATGGACATGACTTTGAACAAATTCTGTGAGACAGTGAAGGACAGGGAAGCCTGGCTTGCTGCAGTCCATGAAGTTGTAAAGAGTCAGACATGGTTTAGTGACTAAACAACAACAACGACGCAGATCCGTTTTGTTGCCTAAATAATCTGTGTTATTTCTTCTAAATTGCATTTATGGTAATATACTAAACTGCCAAATTAGTTAATTTCTTTAATTTTTAAGATCTTTGAAGTCTTTCACTGTTAGAAGAGCTGACAATTTACCACTGTGAATTAAAATGGCCTTTCCCTTAATAACTAAATATATCTTAATATGCAGGCCATTCATCATTAAGGTTTTATGGGTCATTGCTGACCATTTTGATATGCCAGCCTACTGTCTCAACGCTGGCTGCATACCCTCCTCTTTCTACCAAGACCAGCAACACTTTTAATGAGTGATTATATTCTTCATGTATCTTCTACGGTAAGGGCATAAGCAAAATAAAAGAAACATTTCAAATGGATGTCCATCTGCCTTTGTAAATAAAGATCTACAATAAGGTGCAACATAAAATCTCTAAGTTTTAAAATGAAAGGGGTCTTTGCTGGTGGAGCAGTGGTAAAGAACCTGCCTGCCAATGCAGGAGACATGGGTTCAATCCCTGATCCAGGAAGACCCCATACACCTTGGAGGAGCTAAGCCTGCGCTTGTCAACTACTGAGCCGGTGCCCTAGAGTCCAGGAGCCACACCCACTGAAGCCCACATGCCCGAGAGCCCACGCTCCACAACTAGACAGTAGCCCCACCTCGCCACAACTACAGAAAGGCCAGTGCCCCAGTAAAGACCCAGCACAGCCAGAAATAAATAAATAAATAAACAAACTTTAAAATGAAGGGCTCAGTTTGAACATTTTTCTTTTCCTGTGGCATCTTGGTTCCCTGACAAGCAAGCAAACCTGTGCCCCCTGAAGTGGCACCATGGGGTCTTAATCATTGGAATGATAAAACTATCTTCTGATCCCTAAGCTTACTGCTCCTATCAATGAAGAAATATTTCACTTCACTGGTAGACTTCATTTCAATATTATGAAGGATTATCATTTCTTTCAAGTCAATTGTTTTAGAAACACACACTTACCCAGCATTGTTGCTGACTGCAGTTAGTCCTTTTACTCCAGTCTTCAGCAAAGCTCCTATAAGATTCTCTGGAATTCCACATAACCCAAAACCTATAATGGGCCAAGAAGATACATAATTATGTAGAGGGTAATTTTCTTCCAAGGAAATGTATCTGTTACTCTTTAAAAAAAAGAAAAATATACCAGCACATTATTAGACCTACTATGCAAATACACAGATATATCTCAGCAACTTAAGAAGTGGTCATAGAGAGTAGAAAGATCAATGGTTGCTAGGAATTTGAGGGGTGGGGGGAGGCGAATACACAGGTACAGAAGTTTTCATGAGCAGTGAAATACTTTGTATGACATTATAATGATATATATATAAGTCATTATACTTTGGTCCAAACCCATAGAATGTGCAACATTATTTACTTCATTACAATGAACCTTAAGGTGAACCATGGATTTTGGTGATTATGATATGTCAATGCAATTCATCCTTGGTTAAAAAAAAAACAAGTACCACTCTGCTGATAATGGCTATGCATGCACGTGGGGAATTTCTGTACCTTCCTGTCAATTTTGTTATAAACCTAAAACTGCTTTGAGAAAAAAGTTTCCAAAAAAAAAAAAATTAACACTCAGGATAGACATTTTTGGAAAAACTTTTGTTTCACTTATATATGTATACATATTACATACATGTGTGTTTGTTGGATTGTGATGTAAAATGTGTTTTTAGATCAAAAAAGTTTGCAAGTTACTTTACTAAAGTTCTACTGGCAAAACAAAGCACAAATAAATTTCAAAAAAAAAATGAAACAAAATAAATGGTCATATAGCTATCTCCAAATGTTTTACATCATTATATAGCAGCAGACATCACTGCCAAGTCCTTGATTCATTAAGTATATAGCCAAGTGCAATGTGTCAATACAGCCAGATACACATTGTTCTTCTTACACTTAACTACATATTTATTTTCCCACTTTAAAATTGAACCTTAAAAAATAAAATAAAATAAAATAAAATTGAACCTTTACAGAGTTACTTTTTCAAGCATGTTTGTTTTACATTCCTGAGTAGATTCTGCAGATCTAGAAGCCTAAGCCAATGACTTTCATTTCTTTACACAACTCCTCAAACGGTACTGGGTCTAAAATTCAATGACTGCTGAGTTGAATGAATGAATGAAGAGCAGCCTTAAAAATCATCCTTGATTTTTATGACCAAGGCCTAGAAATCCAAAGAAACGTGTAAGAATCAGGCAACAAGTTTAATGAGTGTGAGATGGGGTGCTAAAAGACATTCTAAACAAAAAGAAGCAAGAGAACTTAAACTCACTAACAGATAGATGTGGATGTGCTCTCTAGCTTCCAAAATGAGGAGGAACAAAAAGAATGGCCAGTGTGGGCTGCTGAGATCAATGCAAACTTTTCTTTTTTTAATGCTAACATCTTAAGTTAAGCAGAATTCCCAAGTATCTAGGGATTTTTCAAAGTTACTAATAAGATATCCCCGTTTAAGGTGTCAGCTTTTCAAATAAAAGGAAAAGAAATATAAAAGGTCAAATATAAAGTGCTAAACCTTGCTAAACTTTCAGGAAGGGGACACTATAATAAAAAAAAGATAATATGTAATAAATAAATTAAGATAAAGAATCAATAACTAAACAATAAAATAACTGGCATTTCTAATAATTGGCATTTATTAACAAAGTAATAAAATAATTAGCCTTTCTAATCACCTCACCATTGTGACTTCCCTACTTTGCGAAAATCAAAACGAAAACAATACTATTACTCACCACCAACCAGTATTGTTGCACCATCAGGAATGTCTTTTACCGCTTCCACTGGGTCTGTATAAAATTTGGTATGATGATGTGTGCTAGTTGAAAAGTAGCAAATACATCCCTAAAACATTAAAAAACATTTTTAAATGAACAAGCATTTGGAAACTTGTGTTTATTTTGCATGTATATGAATGTATTCAACTATTATATATACAAGGATAATTTCACTAGCTTGTCTTTGAAAGAGTGGGGCTGTAAGTAGTTCATCTTAACAGTAGGATGGACAGAAACTTCCCTGGTGGTCCAGTGGTTAAGACTCCAGGCTCCCAATGCAGAGGACCCAGGTGAAATCCCTGGTTAGGGAACTATATCCACATGCCAAACCTAGAGTTCACGTGCCACAACTAAAGATCCTGCATGCCACTCTTTACAATAGCCAGAACATGTTAGCAAAACTAGATGTCCATCGACAGATGAACAGGTAAAGAAGTTGTGGTACATATACACAATGGAATATCACTCAGCCATAAAAGGAACAAAATGAGGTCATCTGCAGTGATGTGGATGAACCTAGAGTCAGTCATACACAGTCAAAGAAGTCAGAAAGAGAAAAACAAATATTAACGTATATATATATATATGTGGAATCTAGAAAAATGAACCTATCTGCAAGGTAGGAAGAGAGACACAGATACAGAGAACAGACTTGTGCACACAGCTGGGAAAAAAGAAGGCAGGACATACAGAAAGTAGCACTGACATATATATGCTGCCACGTGTAAAACACAGCCAGTGGGAAGCCGCTGTAAAACAGAGCTCAGCATGGTGCCCTGTGATGAACTAGGGGGCTGGGGTGGGGGCGGGGAGGGACGCTCCAGAAGCAGGGGATGTATGTTATGTACGCTTACAGCTGACTCACTTTGTTGTACAGCAGAAACTAACATGACATTGTAAAGTAATTATCCTCCAATTTTAAAAAAATCCTATGGTAAACCATAATGGAAAAGAATACTTAAAAGTCGATTGAGTTGCAATCAATCACTCATACTTAACATCATCTCTTCTTTATTCTCATTATATAGTCAACCTAAAAAAAGAGGGCTTCCCCAGTGGCTGAGGGGTGAAGAATTTGCCTGCCAAGCAGGAAACAGAGAAGATGTGGGTTCGGTCCCTGGGTTGGGAAGAACCCTCTGGAGAAGGAAATGGCAACCCACTCCAGTAGTCTTGCCTGAAAAATCCCATAGACAGAGGAGCCTGGTGGGCTATAGTCCATGGAATCGCAAAGAGTCAGACACAACTGAGCACGCAAGCATAAAAAGAGAGGGGGTAGAAAGAATGACACCTGACTCCTGAGACACTGCCCCTTAACAGCCCATCGATGTTGTAAGCTCACACCCATGCCTATCAGAGCCTCCCAGACAGAGAACCCCAGGGGATCAAAGCAAAAGCATAAATGAGAGCTCTCATTTTTTTCTCCCTCCAAAAACTCCTTTCATAAAAAGTGTCAGTTCAGTTCAGCCGCTCAGTCGTGTCCGACTCTTTGCATCCTCATGGACTGCAGCATGCCAGGCCTCCCTGCCCATCACCAACTCCCAGAGTTTACTCAAACTCATGTCCACTAAGTCAGTGATGTCATCTAACCATCTCATCCTCTGTCATCCCCTTCTCCAGCATCAGGGTCTTTTCAAATGAGTCAGTTCTTCAAATCAGGTGGGCAAGTATTGGAGTTTCAGCTTCAGTATCAGTCCTTCCAATGAATATTCAGGACTGATCTCCTTTAGGATGGACTGGGTGGATCTCCCTGCAGTCCAAGGGACTCTCAAGAGTCTTCTCCAACACCACAGTTCAAAAGCATCAATTCTTCGGTGCTCAGCTTTCTTTATAGTCCAACTCTCACATCCATACATGACTACTGGAAAAACCATAGCTTTGACTAGATGGACCTTTGTTGGCAAAGTAATGTCTCTGCTTTTTAATATGCTGTCTAGGTTGGTCATAAAATGTGTCAATTAATACAAAAGGTAAAGAAGGAAATGGCAACCCACTCCAGTGTTCTTGCTTAGAAAATTCCATGGACAGAGAAGCCTGGTGGGCAACACCCCATGGGGTCGCAAAGAGTTGGACACAACTGAACAACTAACACACAATGCAAAAGGAGATGAAGAAACTATACTGAAAATCCAATGAGATCTGCAAAGGTATAGGTTGCTAAATGACCTTTGTCCTTTTAAATTGCAACCTTGGTCAAGGTCAGATGAGGAAGAGTGGTTTACCGTGGCACACTGCCCACACACAGGAAAATAAGCAGAGGTGGGGATAGGAAGGAAAGAGCTTGAACCACCAACAGCTGTCTCCTCTGTCCTATACTCAAGTAGCAGGGATTTATTTGATTCTGTTTTAACACATGCATATATAGAAAAATATGTTTTTAATCTTAGAACTTAAAATTTTGATAGCCTGACTAATGAGGCCAACACATATATTGTAAGATGAAACTGAGGATATCTCCTAGAAAACAGGGGCTTCCCAGGTGGTACAGTGGAGACACAAGAGATGGGAATTCGATCCCTGGGTCAGGAAGATCCCCCTGAGAGGGAAATGACAACCCATTCCAGTAGTCTTGCCTGGACATCCCAAGGACATCCTGGCAGGCTACAGTCCACAGGGTGGCAAAGAGTCAGACACAACTGAGCACACACACATGCCTAAAAAACAGAGAAGAGAAAAATACACACGTATCTAATCCAACCAACTCATTTTACAAGTAAAGTTTCTGAAGATATAAGGATCTTGTAATTTACCCCACACTGTTAAAGCAAGACCAGTTCCCAGGTTTAGCCTTCTATCACTGGGGCCTTCTACCTCAATATGTTCCTCTGTCCTTTTCAAAAATCCTCAGTCTTATACTACTTCTATCTTATTACTTATGTACAACAAACCTTTATAAGTGTCATTTTTTCATGAAGAACTCTGTTGTCCTTATTTTCAGTGAAAGGTAAAGAGTCAGGGCCTTAGCAGGAGGAGGAAGAAAGTTAAAGAATTTGTCTGGGGGGTAAAACTGAAGACTGAAAATTCTATCAATGTGCCCTTACACTCTAGTAATATAACACAATTATCTATTGCTTCCAAACTTACAGCTCCTCTGACATTTTTTAATGTAGTTAAAATTGGCTGTTGTTCAGTCATGTCCAGCTCTTTGAGATCCTGTGGATTACAGCACGCCAGGCTCCCTGTCTTTCAATATCTCCCGGAGTTTGCTCAAACTCATGTCCACTGAGTCGATGATACCATCCAAACTTCTTATCCTCTGTTGCCCTGTTCTCCTCCTGCCCTCAATCTTTTCCAGCATCAGGGTCTTTTACAACGAGTTGGTTTTTCACATCAGGTGGCCAAAGTATTGGAGCTTCAGTTTCAGTATCAGTCCTTCCAATGAGTATTCAGGATTGATTTCCCTTAGGATTGACTGGTTTGATCTCCCCACTGTCCAAGGGACTCTTGAGAGTCTTCTCAATCACCACAATTCAAATGGCAAGCCACTCTAGGATTCTTGCTGCAAGAACCCGATGAACAGTATCTTTGATTACAAACGGTCATAAATTATTGAGAAGTGGACTGACCTGGTGGTCCAGGGGTTAAGACTGAGCTCCCAATACAGGGGGCCCAAGTTTGAACCCTGGTCAGGCAACTAGATCCAACCTGCCACAACTAAAAGTTTGCATGCTGTGATGAAGATCAACAATCCCAAGTGCCACAACTAAGAACCACGGCAGCCAAATACACATACAAATCTTTTTTTTTTAATTACTGAGAAGCTTGTGCCACATCTCTCCCAAAAACCTCAGAAGTACTTTAGAAAAAAACTCAAGTGTTTCACATTTACCCAGACAATCAAAAGCTTAAAAGCAATAAACAAATTCATATTTTCAGAGAATGTGAGACAGACTCAAGATAATAAAGAATTTACAGGTACTCAGCGTAGGTCTGTAGGTCTGTTCATTTTGCACCTGTTCAGTTAACAATATTTATTGATATTTACCTTGTCAGGATGGCCAAGTGGTCTAAGGCACCAGACTCAAGCCCGAACAATATTTGTTGATATTTATTATCTATTTATTATAACAACATTTGATATCTATTGACTGAGAGACAAACAGTGGCATAATGGGCCACACTCTATTAATTTCAAAGTCTAAAATATCCTATGCCAGTAGAAGTATTAACTGGAGAAAATTACTTAACTTCTGTGCCTCTTTTTTTGGTGGAGGAGGGGGGGTGGCAGTGACATTAAGTTTACAAAAGTGAAAGTCAAAGTCACTCAGTCCTGTCCGACTCTTTGCAACCCCATGGACTATACAGTCCATGGAATTCTCCAGGCCAAAATACTGGAATGGGTAGCCTTTCCCTTCTCCAGGAGATCTTCCCAACCCAGGTATTGAACCCAGGTCACCAGCATTGCAGGTGGATTCTTTACCAGCTGAGCCACAAGGGAAGCCCAAGAATACTGGAGTGGGTAGCCTATCCCTTCTCCAGAGGAAGAGGAGAAGATTCCAACCCAGGAATCCAACCAGGGTCTCCTGCACTGCAGGCAGAATCTTTACCAACTGAGTTATCAGGGTTTACAAAAAGATGATTTTTTTAAAAAACTCCTGTCAATGACTTCCATATAATTAGACATGTAATTGTATCACATAACAAGACACTGTTCTTAATATTTTTTTTAAAAAAAGCATGATACAAACAATGATACCTGTTTCCCAGGGATGTAGTATGGATCAAACAATTATGTATTATTATTATAAAGCTAAGAAGCATTTAGCCCTGAGCCTGGATAACAGAAGATATCCAGGGGATATGATCTTCACTTGAGAAATGCAACCTTTTCTCCATTCCCCGCCAGGGCAATAAGATTAACCTGACATTGACTGGGAGTTTAGTTTTCATTTTTAACCTCCCCACTCTACCCTCCACACATGCAAAAACAGACACATTACTGATTTTACAAAGAATTTAACATGATCCATACTATAGCCAATTAATCCAAGCAATCTTTGTTGAGGGTTTGTTTTTTTTTAAATTAGCCCCAGCTTTAAGATTACTTTAATGTTAATTATTTTATTTGCAATCAAGTTGCCAGCATAAGTATCCAAAGATTATTGGGCAAACAGTAATATGAACTGCTGCAGGCAGTGGGGTAAAGAGGAAGCACGATGCCTGAGGCCAGTTACCACAGAAAGTTTGCTGCGGATATTCAAGGCCTGAAATCAGCGAACCTGGGAGGCAGCACCGCTGAGAAAGCCTTGGAATCTGTTCTCTGACACACATACTCCTTGCCCACTAACCCTTCCCACACTCCCTGCCTCTGGCGGTGAAGAAACAGACACCCAACACCTTCTAAGAACTGGCAGGGAGGTGGGGAGAAATATGTCTCTAATCACTTACCTTTATTCCTAAGATAACTGAATTCAAGTAAAGCTCTAAACTGCCCTACCTTCTACTATATTTTAAATATTAAAATAATGATGTGAAAAAACCCAAGCATCATCTGCTACAAAAATAAGTAAATAAATAAAATAACCTTCAACTTTGCAGAAGTTACCTAAAAGAATGAAGAGTAACGAACTATACAGCTTTGACAGCTACTGATTCTAGGAGTAATTTTTTTTTCCACTGAGATCTTCCTTTACATTAACATAATATATTTTGTTTTGTTTTCCACCCTCCTACCTTCTGCAAAATTCCATCTCATTGTTGCCACTAGTTTCTGCTAATACTATTGAGGGAAAGAAATAAAGTGATTCAGTACATACTGAAGCTAAGAAATAAAATTCTTGCAGTGCAAAATTGTTTTCTATTAAATCTAGTTCTTTCAAAATCTTCTCCCTCTTCCTACTTTGTTCTCATCTTCAAATTCTTACACTTAATCTTTGAGATCAGATTCTACTGTGGAGCCTAGGTTTTATCTCATGACTTCCCAATCCAGAACTCCTTCCTTTCTAACCACTTCTCCCACTAATTCTTTCACCTAAATTCCTCTTTTTTTCTGTCATTCAACACTCCAGAACTTAGTGAAATGAAAATGCACTTCACTTTGAAGATCTCTGAGGAGAATTCACAAACCACACTGTCTTTTCTTATTTTTAAACATATCTTATCTTAATGATAGGAACTATACACCTACATGCTCCCTACCTTGTCACCTTATAGTTAAATATATCAGGACACAGAAAGATTGACATTGCCCAGGTCAGTCTCAAAGTTGGATATATAGAAGTGGGGAGGATAGGCCATCTGGAGGGAGGTTCAGAGAACACCATTAGAAGGAAAGGGCATTAGCATGCAAGTGGATATACACAGTCTTGCAAGGAGAGCATGGCATTACTGCCAAGAAGAAGTAGTGACGTGCTAAAATGCTTTAGGTATCCAGCACTGGACCAGTGTTGACCAAAGATGGACACGGTCATTAATAATTAATCACTCACTTATGACACAAATGAATCCCAAGGAGCTCACAGGAGTTGCTGACATGGGGCAGTGCCCTACAGCAACAGCATACTTTGTTTTCTAGGGAACGTACATATCTTATTCCAATTTGGAGGGATGCTCTGAAGCACTCTGAAGGATCATAGATGAATAAGCAATGCATTCTGTCTAGCGGATCAGAAAGCGTAAAAGTTTGCCAAGACTTAAAAAAAATAATGAGGGTGGGGATTCCGGAAAAGGGGAGCTGCCTGAGCAAAGGTACCAAGATGTGGAAAGACTGTGTTTTCAAGGGCATGCAGGATCACACTGTGGAGAGAAGCTCATGAAGATCAGGCTGGTAAGGAAGTTGGGGAAAGTTGCAAAAGGCCTTAAAGACAACAATAGAGAGCTTCAACTTCATCCTTCAATGAGGAAAGGACAGCAAAGTGTTTTGTTTTGTTTGAAACCGAGATGTCACAACTCTCATACAAAAGCCTGAATCAGGAAAGTGGCAGGGGTACTCATTCTTTCATTCATTCCTCTATTTGTTCTAAAATACCCATTCTGGTGCCTCAGCTGGTAAAGAATCCGCCTGCAATGTGGGAGACCTGGGTTCAACCCCTGGATTGGGAAGATTCCCTGGAGAAGAGAAAGGCTACCCACTCCAGTATTCTGACCTGGAGAATTCCAAGGACTGTATAGACCATGGGGTCACAAAGAGTCAGACACGACTAAGTGACTTTCCCTTTCATACTAAATACTGAGACTAGAGAGTTAACAAACAAACAACCTCACAAGCATAGTCTCTGCTCTAATGAAACTTACAAACTTACAAGGATAACAGCCACTAAATAACTGCAGAATTATTACACATGACACTGGGGATCAACTGTAAGTTAAAAAAAGAAGTAGAGGAGAGAATAGTTCCAAATTTCCAGCTTACATTCTGGATGGATACTGGTGCTGTTAACCATAATAAAAACAAAACAAGGAAGGAAAAAGCCACTTTATGGCTTTTGACCAGAAAAGACTTGAAGTGCTGAGTGACATTAACCAGTAAGTTGTACTGGAATGAAGGCAGTTCAGGAGAGTCTGGGGTTAGAGATAAATCTAGAAAAGATAGTTTTCAAAGAAGAGAAATAGCTAAAGTGTTAATGGTAGTTTTAAGTTTTTTTTCAGTAATAATTTTATATAGTGAATGGAAAATAGTATTAAACATACCCTCCAAAACAATCATGGACTAAGGAAGATGGAAGATACCTTTGGGTAGTCTGTTTAGGTCAAAGCCAATGCCACTGGCTCTGAAAGTTCAGTCCTCAGACCAGCAGCTTTACTACCTGGGAACTAATTAATGCAAAGTACTGAGCTCCTGCCAGGACCTACTAAATGGGAAACTCTGGGGATGAACTCAGCAATCTATTTGATAAAGCCTCCAGGTAATTCTGATGCACACTCAAGTCTGGAAGGCATGCTTATCACAAACACACAAGAAAAAAAAAAACTACCTCATTTTACCTGTTGGTAATATTTAGTAAAAAAAAAAAAAATATATATATATATATATATATATATATATATATATATCCTCCAGGTTACTCCCTAAGTTTGCCCACACTGTTTTCTCATCCACGTAGGAAATGAGTTGAGTATCTATTCTATGCATGGCAGTGTGTAATGCTCAGAGAGATGGAGAATAAGGCATACAATATGGTCTGCAAATTTCATCTGGTTATGAAGATGATGTCTACACGTTCAAAAAGTTAAACAAGTACACAAGTGTTACAGTTAACGCAAGTAAGAGGTGAAGATTTAAGGGGTAAGCAGAAAGATTTAAGTGCCAAGTGCTGGAGGAACACTGAGAAAGGGGAGTTGGACCTACAATCAACAAATCCTGAAGGAGAGATGAGATACAGGAAAACCCATAATTTGTAACTCGGCCATCTAAGAAGATGTTTGCTGGGCTTTGGGAATAGTTTAATAATACACTTAAGAAAATAAGTAAATTACACCTAGGCAAATAAGTAACTAGCAGGGCTTCCCAGGTGGCTCAAGGGTAAAGAACCTGCCTGCCAATGCAGGAGACACAAGAGACGTGGGTTCGATCCCTGGGTTGGGAAGATCCCCTGGCACAGTAAATAGCAACCCACGCCAGTATTCTTGCCTGGAAAATTCCACGAATAGAGGAGCCTGGCGGGCTATACAGTCCATGGGGTCGCAAAGAGTTGGACACGACTGAGCATGCACACACAACTAAGTGCCAAAACAAGGAATGTTATTAACCTTGGCCCAAGGAGGTCGCTGTGTCCTGACTTGCACTCGTTTCAGCGCCCACAGCAAAGACAGAAGGTCGAGCTCCCTTCTAACAACGCTTTACAAATCCAAAGCTACCTGCAAGTATCAAAGTGCCTCCTAACAGGCATTCATGTGTAAATCTTCCCAGTTCTGAATCACCATCTAGCACTCACCTACCGGGCTTTGCGACAGCCCCTCTCCGTTCACCGCTCTTACTGGGTGGATGCCAGTAAGATGCCAGAGCAACGGGGAGGAAGAGGAGTTCCTTGTGAGGAGGTAAGTGTTCAAGGCACACTTTTAAGCTCAGAACTATTATTCAAAAACATCACTTTTCCTTGTCTCTTCCAAGGAAAAGGCTCCAGTGGTGACGGAGGTAGCGGAGGTAAGCTAGTCTCCTAGACTCGCCACTCTGGTCCAGTCCGAGGACTCCGGATAAGAACCGCACCGGGGCGAGGGCTTACAGGCGGGGACAGAGTACGCGGGGGAAAAAGACGACACATCAGAACACAATCGCAGCGCGAGGGCCTCGAGATACTACCGTTCGTGAAGAGTTTGCAGTGAGAGTGGACAATGTTTGCAAAGAAGTTTGAAAACGGAAATCCCAAGGAGCCTCAGAAGAAAGGGATGCCCGCGATCGAAGCCCGCGTCCTGGCACAGCCAGACCTCCACAGGCTACTCGGCGTGGCGAGGTAGACGCGCCAGCGAGCGCCCCAGTCCGGGTTCCGCTTCCCACCGCCGAGGTGCAGCGCAGCCCCATGGGGAGAAGAAGGGGTGCAGCGTTCCACCCTCTTGGCGGCAAACTCGAGCCGACCCCTGGCTAGCCCAGCCCTCAGTTCCGGGCCTGTAGCGGGGCCTCCGCCCCGAGATCCCTAATTCGGAGCGCAAACCTACCCCTTGCAGCCGTCGCCCCTTGCCCTCCTCAAGCCGGCGAACCCTCCCGGTCCCGTTCCGGCCGCCAGAGCCCCTTCCCAAGAAACTGCCCGAGAAACGGAAACGCGAGCCAGGGCCTCTTCGCGCACTTCTGTGCCTCGTCTCGCCTCACTGGGGAAGCAGGTGCAGAACCAAGTCAAGGAGGCCAGGCGGAGAAGCAGCGAGGCCAGGGGGCGTCGGCGCGCCTCGGGGCCCTGGGTCCTGCGCCCAGATGCCGGCTCCCGGGCTGGAGAGAGTGGGTGTGGGCAGACAAGAAAAAACGCTCGGGCTTTCGTCCGCGTTCTTCCGGACGCGGCCTTGCTCTTCACTTTACCTTGGACCAGACGCCCGCTGAGGGGAGGGCGGAGGCGCAGAACCGCAGGCGCGAGGAGAGGCGTGCGAGAGCTGCCATGGTCGGACGGGCGGCGGGCGCAGGCCGGGCCGGAGCGCGCGTGTGAGTGTGTCCACTGACGCCGCCGGGCCGCCGCGTCACGGGACGGGAAGAAAAGGAAGGCGAGCGGGGGGCGGGCTGGAGGCTCGATAGCGCTGCGGTGACGTCGTGGGTCCTCTGGCGCCGGGGCTTGGCAGATGGAGCGTCGAGGATGGGAGGGGCCCGCGGGCGGAGCGGGTCGCGGGGGAAGGTCCCAGCCCGGCGGCGGTCGGGCGTGCCTCGGTCAGCCCGCGTGCGCTCACTCGCCGCCGCAGCCGAGCGGTCATGGGTAATTGTCTTTGCCAAGGTCTGGGATAGGTCTTAGCCTAGAGTTCGGGCGGCAGAGCTTGTTGCTCTTTCTTATCAGCGTCTGGAACCTGTGGAGGCTGGTAAGGTGGACCCGCTTTGAGGCCCCTCCCCATCTGTGGACAACGTTCCCACGTCTTCCGTTTCTGTCTTGTCTCCCCACACCCGTTCCCGCTTGTGTAAGAGTAAGTTTGCTCTGCGAATCAGCCAGGAGCCGTCTGCCCTGAGATATGATCAGACAGGCCGCATCAAGATGGTCCCCGGTGAAGAAGGCCAGACGAGGATTGGCTCTCCGGGACGGGATTTCGGCACACCTTTTCCCCGCTGGACATCATCCAAGTCTACATTGTTCAGGATCTTCGGACACTGGAGTCCTGGAAAACCCTGAGATTACTCAGCAGATGCAAACATGTAGCTGGTAATCCCTTTGACAGATCTGAGGCAAGTTTCCTAACTTTCCTAAGCCTGTGTCCTTATCGGCAAATTAAAATTGTTAGTAATTCTCAGAACTGTTGTAAAGATCACATGAGGTAATTCATGCAAGGTTTCTGGCTCCATTAGAAACACTCAATAAATCTTAGGCGTTATTCTAAGTTTATTCAAGTTGCAATGGTGCATTGATGCGGCACATATATTCAATTCATATATTCATATTCAGTCCAGGCCGTATCTCTTAGCCAGCTAGCTCCTTGAAGACCTGAGCCAAGCCAGGTTTCTTCAAAACCATCTATGCTCTTAGTAGCTGGATGGAAGGACCAAGTGCAAAGTCCATCATCATTTTATTTGATTAAGGGCTGACCAAAGGAACGTGGTTGTTAGTTTTAAACCAAAGCAAAGCAAACACGAAAATTAAATGAGCCCTCAGCTTCCCTATCAAGTACACTGAGATTCAAGTGGACCGTCAGTCCAGTTTAAAGTCTGTCCATCAAAGTGCTTGCCCTTTCATGCTATTCTTTCAACTCTGAAGTTTTTCATTTTCCCTATAAGTACTATAATTTTAATTAAAGTCATTGAGGGAACAAAATACCAAGTTAAATTGTCCGACTACATGAGGAGAAATTAACTCCGCATTGCCCAGTATTTTCAACACATAAGAAATTGGATGGAGGGGAAATTCAAATATTAGAACTAAAGTTCCATTGCTAGTCCTAATACAGTATATAATAGTCATTGTGCTGTAGCTGATAGAATGTGAAAAAGCTATCCTCACAACTGGGTCTGCTTTTCCATTTTTGCCCTTCCACAGGGCACATGAAATGGAAAATAGCATTAGCAACTTTGTCAAACTGTGGTCATATGACACACTCTTCTTGGCTGGTCTCACTGTTGCTCCTGGCTGAGGAAAAGGCGCATATTTTTAGTGTTACTCTGTGTAACTCTAAATCTTGTGAAAAAAAATCAGCCTCTTTACTCTGTGGTCAAAACACATTATAATTTTTTGGTGACTCTATGACCCTGTTTTGTACTTTATAAATAAAACATGAATATCTTCAACTTGAACAAATTATAGAAAAGTTTTTCTGTACAGATTTTCCTTCTGGTTCCACAAAACTATTTCAAATTTAATCAGTTTGAAATCAACTTTTAAAAAATATCTTAATTTTTCTGAACAAATAAGAATAGCTCCCTTTTGTTTTAGGAGCAGTTTGTGACAAATATATATCATATTCTGGAAACTTTTCTTTGGGTAATCTTGTAGTGTTTAACTTCCACATTCTAAAAATGAGGGAATTGAATTGAATTCAAAGCTTTTAAACAAATGATATGATTTTAGACATGCAATAGGAAAGTTTATTTTGTATTATGTTATTATACATAAAAATACATATATTTTATACATATATTGCATGTATTATTATTTTTACATTTTTTTATTTCAAAATTGATTTTATTGAAACCAAAACAATGTCATTAACTGTACATAATAAATGGCTCCGTCAGTAAAGAGTCTGCCTGAAGTGCAGGAGACCTGGGTTCAGTCCCTGCGTAGGGAAAATCCCCTGGAGGAGGAATTGGCAACCCACTCCAGTATTCTTGCCTGAAAAATCCCAAAGCTGGAGAAACCTGGTGAGCTACAGTCCATGGGGTCACAAAGAGTCAGACACGACTGAGTGATTAACACATTCACTTTTCAATAAACTATTATATGTGTGTGTGTGTGTGTTAGCAATTAAGCACATACATCTATGTATACTTATACAAAAATATTCCCCTCCTTTTACAGCTCAGACACTGAAGAATCTGCCCACAGTGCAGGAGACCTGGGTTCAATCCCTGGGTTGGGAAGATCCCTGGAGAATGAAATGGCGACCCACTCCAGTATTCTTGCCTGAAAAATCCCATAGACAGAGGAGCCTGGCAGGCTACAATCCATAGGCTCCCAAAGAGTCGGACATGACTGAGGGATTAACAAACCCTTTCTAGCAAATGATTGCCACCAATGTGTCAGAGTTGGTTAGACTATAAGTTGTAATTCTCTGTTTAAGAGAGTTTTATTTAAATTCTGCTAAAATATGATAGTTATCTCTTATTACTGAAAGAGGACATTTTGCCATTACAGTTGGAGTATTTCTTCAAATTGATAATCAGGGTATTTGAAGACTTGTTTTCCAATGTTGTTTGACTGGTTTAACTAGTAATATGGTTTTTAACTAGATCATTTGAATGTTCAAAAAAAAGATCTATGCATGCTTCATTTTATACAATGATTCTTAAACATATGGAAAACAAATCCCTTCAGACAGATAATTTTCCTCTAATAGGTATGAAAGACATAAAAAACTTTTTACTTAACTAATCTGTACTAATATTTGTTCAATACATTAAAAAATTAGTTTAATTTTACTTACAGTATAGTTTTTTTTCCTCAAGAAATACTAAAATAAACACATAAGATGGTTGGAGACTCAACTCCTGGAATGAATTTGAAAATTATGTTAAAGTGCTAAGGAAACTCAAAGAAGCAAAACATACCAGCATTATCTCTCATGCACTCAAGTCTGATCATGTTCACTTCAGTACAGTTCAGTCGCTCAGTCATGTCCGACTCTTTGTGACCCCATGGACCACAGCACACCAGGCCTCCCTGTCCATCACCAACTCCTGCAGTTTACCCAAACTCATGTCCATTGAGTCAGCAATGCCATCCAACCATCTCATCCTCTGTTGTCCCCTTTTCCTCCTGCCTTCAATCTTTCCCAGCATCAGAGTCTTTTCAGATGAGTCAGCACTTCACATCAGGTGGCCAAAGTATTGGAGTTTCAGCTTTAACATTAGTCCTTCCAGTGAACACTTAGGAATGATCTCCTTTTGGATGGACTGGTTGGATCTCCTTGCAGTCCAAGGGACTCTCAAGAGTCTTCTCCAATACCACGGTTAAAAAGCATCAATTCTTCGTCACTCAGCTTTCTTTTTAGTCCAACTCTCACATCCATACATGACTACTGGAAAAACCACAGGCTTGACTAGATGGACCTTTGTTGGCAAAGTAATGTCTCTGCTTTTTAATATGCTGTCTAGGTTGGTCATAGCTTTTCTTCCAAGGAATAAGCGTCTTTTAATTTTCTGGCTGCAGTCACCATCTGCAGTGATTTTGGAGCTCCCAAAAATGAAGTCAGCCACTGGTTCCACTGTTTCCCCATCTATTTGCCATGAAGTGATGGGACCGGATGCCGTAATCTTAGTTTTCTGAATGTTGAGCTTTAAACCAATGTTTTCACTCTCCTGTTTTACTTTCATCTTGTTTCATCTTTAGAATCTTGAGTTCTTCTTCACTATCTGACGTAAGGGTGGTGTCATCTGCTTGTCTGACGTAATTGATATTTCTCCTGGCAATCTTGATTCCAGCTCGTGCTTCATCCAGCCCAGCGTTTCTCATGATGTACTCTGCATGTAACTTAAATAAGCAGGGTGACAATATACAGCCTTGACGTACTCTTTTTCCTATTTGGAACCAGTCTGTTGTTCCATGTCCAGTTCTAACTGTTGCTTCCTGATCTGCATACAGATTTCTCAAGAGGCAGGTTAGGTGGTCTGATATTCCCATCTCTTTCAGAATCTTGCAGTTTGTTGTGATATACACAGTCAACGGCTTTGGCATAGTCAATAAAGCAGAAGTAGATGTTTTCTTGGAACTCTCTTGCTTTTTCGATGATCTAGCGAATGTTGGCAGTTTGATCTCTGGTTCCTCTGCCTTTTCTAAATCCAGCTTGAACATCTGGATGTTCATTGTTCATGTACTGTTGAAGCCTGGCATCAACAGGAGAATTTTGAGCATTACTTTACTAGTGTGTTAGATGAGTGCGATTGTGTGGTAGTTTGAGCATTCTTTGGCATTGCCTTTCTTTGGGATTGGAATGAAAACTGATCTTTTCCAGTCCTGTGGCCACTGCTGAGTTTTCCAAATTTGCTGGCATATTGAGTGCAGCACTTTTGCAGTATCATCTTTTAGGATTTGAAATAACTCAACTGGAATTCCATCACCTTCACTGATCATGTTACTTCTGCTTAAAACTTATCAGTGGTTTTCCTCCTTGTGTGTAAGATCCAAAATTCACACTTACTAACTTGGCATAGAAGAAGATCATCTCTTTTGATTTTCCTTATCACCTTTAAATTCCAACCTCTAGTTGCCTCTTGATTTTCACAGGATGAATCCACACAATTCAGAATCAAATCCTGATATCAAAATAGTAAAGAGCATGGACTCTGTAATCGCAAGACTGCCTGGATTCAAATCTCAACTCTGCTGTTGCCTACGTATATGGCTTTCTGTGGTGCAATAGCTAAGGAGAGCTGCCAGACAGCAAGATAAAAGTCATGTCTGGGCCAGTACCGGCTTGTACTACCCTGCTGTTAAAAGATTATACTTTGAACATGTATGTCAAACATACTGTGAACATCTTACAGAAAAACCCTAAAGAACTATTTGTTCAAACCAGTATTTCTCAAATACTTTCTATGTTTTCATAAACTGGGAAACATCAGACAGGGTTCAAAGGCTGCACTGTGTGGTATTAAACATTATGCCTTCCTCCTTATGATGTATCTTTGAATCAGATTCCACCTCCGCAGTTTCACTCATTCTGCCCTAGTGCAGGACTTCAATTTCAGGTTCTCTAAACTAGATTATTGCAGTTGCTTCCTAAATGAAGTAGTAGTTGTTCTTGTTGTTGTTCAGTCACTCAGACATGTCTGATTCTTTGTGACCCCATGAACTGCTGCACACCAGGCTTTCCTATCCTTCACTATCTCCCCAAGCTTGTTCAGACTCATGTCCATTGAGTCAATGATGCCATCCAACTTCCTCCTGCCCTCAATCTTTTCCAGCATCAGGGTCTTTTCCATTGAGTCAGTCTTCACATCAGGTGGCCACAGTATTGGAGCTTCAGCTTCAGGATAGTCCTTCCAATGGATATTCAGGGTTGATTTCCTTTAGGGTTGACTGGTTTGATCTCCTTGCTGTTAAGAGGCTCTTAGGAGTTTTGACAAGCACCACAGTTTGAAAGCATTAATTCTTCAGCACTCAGCTTTCTTTATGGTCCAACTCTGACATCCCATACATGACTACTAGAAAAACCATAGCTTTGGCTATATGGACCTGTGTCAGGAAAGTGATATGTCTGTTTTTAATACACTGTTTGGTTTGTCATATCTTTTCTTCAAAGGATCAAGCATCTTTGAATTTCCTGGCTGCAGTCACCATCCACAGTAATTTTGGAACCCAAGAAAATAAAGCCTGTCACTGTTTCCATTTCTTCCCCATCTATTTGCCATAAAGTGATGGGGCTGGATGCCATAATCTTAGTTTTTTGAATGTTGAGTCTTAAGTCAGCTTTTTCACTCCTCTTTCACCTTCATCAAGAGACACTTTAGTTCCTCTTTGGCCCACTTGACACACACTCCAGGATGTCTGGCTCTAGGTGAGTGACCACACAATCATGGTTATGTATGTCATTAAGGCCTTTTTTTGTATACTTCTTCTGTGTATTCTTGCCACCACTTCTTATATCTTCTGCTTCTGTTAGGTCCATACCATTTCTGTCCTTTATTGTGCCCATCTTTGCATGAAGTGTTCCCTTGGTATCTCTAATTTTCTTGAAGAGATCTCTAGTCTTTCCCATTCTATTGTTTTCCTCTATTTCTTTGCATTGATCATTGAGGAAGGCTTTCTAATCTCTCCTTGCTATTCTTTGGAACTCTGCATTTAGATGGGTATATCTCTCCTTTTCTTTTTTGTCTTTTGCTTCTCTTCTTTTCACAGCCATCTATAAAGCCTCCTCAGACAACCATTTTGCCTTTTTGCATTTCTTTTTCTTAGAGATGGTTTTGACCACCACCTCCTATACCATGTCACAAACCTCCGTCCATAGTTCTTCAAGCACTTTTGAATTTAACCCCTTGAATCTATTTGTCAGTTACACTGTATGATCATAAGGGATCTGATTTAGGTCATACCTGAATGGCTTAGTGGTTTTCCCTACTTTCTTCAATTTAAACCTGAATTTTGGAATACAAAGCTCATGATCTGAGCCAGAGTCAGATCCCTGTCTTGATTTTGCTGACTGTATAGAGCTTCTCCTACTTTGGCTGCAAAGAATATAATCAATCTGATTTTGGTGTTGACCATCTGGTGATGTCCATGTGTACAGTCAGTCATCTCTTGTGTTGTTGGAAGAGGGGGTTTGCTATGACCGGTGGGTTTTCTTGGCAAAACAAGTTAGCCTTTGCCCTACTTCATTTTGTACTCCCAGGGCCAAACTTGTCTGTTACTGCAGGTATCTCTTGACTTCGTACTTTTGCATTCCAGTCCCCTATAATGAAAAAGACATCTTTTTTTTTTTTTTGCTGTTAGTTCTAGAAGGTCATCATAGAACCATTCAGCTTCAGCTTCTTTGACATTTGTGCCTGGGTCATAGACTTGGATTGCTGTGATATTGAATGGTTTGTCTTGGAAATGAACAGAGATCATTTTGTTGTGTTTGAGATTGCTCCCAAGTACTGCATTTCAGACTCTTTTATGACTATAAGGACTACTCCATTTCTTCTAAGAGGTTCTTGCCCAAGTAGTAGATATAGTGGTCATCTGAATTAAATTCGCCCATTCCCATTCATTTTAGTTCACTGTTCCCTAAAATGTCAATGTTCACTCTTGCCATGACCCAGATAACCACGATGATGTGATCACTCACTTAGAGACAGACATCCTGGAGTGTGAAATCAAGTGGGTCTTAGGAAGCATTACTATGAACAAAGCTGGTGGGTGTGATGGAATTCCAGTTGAGCTATTTAAAATCCTAAAAGATGATGCTGTGAAAGTGCTGCATTAAATATGCCAGCAACTTGGAAAACTCAGCAATAGCCACAGGACTGGAAAAGGTCAGTTTCATTCCAATCCCAAAGAAGATTATAATAGCAAAGAATGTTCAATCTACCACACAGTTGCACTCATTTCACATGCTAGCAAGGTAATGCTCAAAATTCTTCAAGCTAGGCTTCAACAGTATGTGAAATGAGAACTTCCAGATGTTCAAGCTGATTTAGAAAAGGCAGAGGAACCACCGATGAAAGTTCCAAATCCTTTGGATCATAGAGAAAGCAAGGGAATTTCAGAAAAATATCTTCATCATTGACTGCGCTAAAGCTTTTGACTCTGTGGATCACAACAAATTGTGGAGATTTCTTAAAGAGATGGGAATACCAGACCACCTTACCTGCCTCCTGAGAAACCTGTATGCAGGTCAAGAAGCAACAGTTACAACCAGACATGGAATAACAGATTGGCAGGCTACAGTCTATGGTGCTGCAAAGAGTCAGACATGACTTAGTGAGACTGAACAACATAGGCTACAGGTTAAAGTTCAACATCCAATTATAGCCAAGCTCTTTCTAAACCATCATACCTTAAGAGCTTTGCAGAAGTACTTCAGGTGTTATACAAACATTGAATTTTGAAATTAAATTTTAAATTATATTTTTACTTTTCTATCAACTCTAACAAAGTAGTAGCTTCTACACTTAATTGTGGTGTAACTGATTTTAACCTATTAAAGATTAGCAGATCATGCAGCTGGGAGGTAGAACTCAGAATAATATATGACAGATTCTCTTTTTAACTAGCAGAAACAGATTAACTAGTCCCTGAATTGGATTAGGAAATCTTGCTGTAAATTTAGAAAAATATATAGATTGCTATATCTCAGAGTATATATAAAATACAATCCAGGTTGATTGAACTACTAAATACATTTTAAAAGACAATTTTGATGCTATTTGCTAAGAATGTTTACCTCTATCTAAGTACCTCAAAAAGGGTAGGAACTCTGTCTTTCTATGTCTTTCTTAACCCATGGAGTCTCATAATATAGTACTTAGGCTTCCATGAGAGTGATGTAAGCCATGAGCTAACTGCCAAAATAAGTCTGTAGAATTTACTTGACATGAAGTGCTTTTGGAGCTATTTATGAAAAGGTGATAGTCTAATAGTCCAGCTCATCTGTATGAGTGAATAATGATTGGTTCAGCAACAATAAAAAAATCAACTTCCTCAGAAATCAGCTAATGACTATGTCCTTAAAATCCCTGTGACACCTGATTGAAACAAAGCAAAATGTAAAATAATAATTTTATCCCTGTGTTCTGATATCATTTTTTGTGTATGGCAAAAACTATAAAAGCATTCATAGTAAAAATGAACATGTCCTATGAAAATAGTGTCATTCGAGCTGGGGGAAACTTCTTGCCAAAGATACCCCACAAAATGAATGTCAGTTTTCCACATGATGATTTCTGTGGACTGCCAAGACCTCTCAGCACAAAACAAATTGAACTCCATCCAAACTCTTCTCTAAGAAACCTCACCAACTCTAACAGCCTGAGGACAGATCCCAGGGGTTATCCAGCCTCCTTTTGGGTTCCTGTCTGCAAAATATCAGGTTGGCTATTTGGCTCCTGATCTCCTTTGCTCAGAACATTCACTTACAATTACAAATCCTTCCGCTGTCCCTATGAGATGTATTTTGTTGTCACTGTTGTTTAGTCACTAAGTCATGTCCAACTCTTTGCAACCCCAAGGACTGCAGCACTCCAGACTTCCCTGTCCTTCACTGTCTCCCAGAGTTTACTCAGACTCATGTTCATTGAGTTACTAGTGCTATCTAACCAGCTCATCCTCTGCTGCCCTCTGAATATTCAGGGTCGATTTCCTTCAGGACTGACTGGCTTGATCTCCTAACTGTCCAAGGGATTCTCAAGAGTCTTATCCAGAACAATTCAAAAGCATCACATTTTTGGTGCTCAGCCTTCTTTATGGCCCAACTCTCACATCCATACATGACGACTGGGAAAACCATAGCTTCGACTCTATAGACATTTCTCGGCAAAGTGACACTTCTGTTTTTTAATATGCTGTCTAGATTTGTCATAGAGATGTATACATACCTCCTTCTACTCAGAGGTATCTTTCTCCAGCACCTGAAAACTACTCCTTGGAAATATAATTATCAGGATGAATTGGGCCTTTGTCTCCTAGTCTCAGTGAAAGGATAGATTTTCAGTTTCCTTAACTGCCAGTGGGCAGACACAGCTAGCCTAATCACTTTGATACCACCCTTTGTAGTTGTAGTTTTTCTTTTCTCTTTTTACTTGAGCCCTACTCACTCTTCCCTACTCCTTCATTCTCCCATTAAAATGCCCAGTCATCTCTGCACTACTCAGATGGAGCTCAACTCTTGCCCCTACAGTCAATAGTTATTGAATACAATCTGTTTTCAAACTTTAATGTCTTGCTTTGTTTATCTTTGACACTGGCAATACAGGAACAGAATTTTCTATATAGTTCCAATGACATCACTTGCTTAACAAACCAAATATTATTTCTGCAAATATACTTTAAAGACAGATTGTACACAGAAATATAAAAGAAATATAAGAATTAATCTTCTTAAGTAAATGACATGGAATTAACATGGGATTCAGTAGTTCATATGCGTGTGAATTTAATATGTGGCTGAACTGGTCTTTTTTAAAAATATTTATTTGTTTGGCTGCACCAGGTCCTAGTTGCAACATGTGAATTCTTGGTTGCACCATGTGCGATCTAGTTCCCTGAGCAGGGGTTGAACTCAGGCACTGTGCACTGGGAGCTCAGAATCTTAACAACTGGACCACCAGGGAAGTCCCTAAACTGGTCTTTTTGATCGGTAGAAAATGATAAGCTAGTTCCTCAGTTGGTGTTAGTATGTATGAAGTAAATGAAGTATGTAGAAGTAAATGTAGAGGAATTATTTTATAATCTTAGAAGGGGAAAGGCCTTTTCAAAGAAGTCATAAAATCCAGAAGGTATAAAGTGAAAGACTGATAGAGTCAACAAAGCACATAAACCTTAAAGTTGTAATCTCATACTCATGAGCAAAATTAAAAGACAAGAAAGTGGGAAAAAGTATTCTTTACATATAAATCTGACAGTTAATAGCTATAACTCTAATGTCTACAAAACGAAAGCCAAAACATAGTCACCAAAAAAGAAAAATGAACACACATAATGGAAGGATAAATGTAAATAACTACTATATGAAAAGATGGTCTAACCAAGGAAATGCAGTTTCAAATGAGATATCACTTTTTGTTTATCAGATAGGCAAAAATTAGATTAATTATAAACAACGTCAAAAATGTAGAAATAATCCTCTCATATTTTACAATGCAAACTATCAAACTTTAAATTTCTACCTCCTTCAACATCTTATATCTTTACGGTGGGATATTGTTGTTCAGTCGCTAAGTTGTGTCAGGCTTTTTGTGACCCCATGGACTGCAGCATGCCAGGCTCCTCTGTCCTCCACTCTCTCCCGAGTTTGCTCAGATTTGTGTTCATTAAGTCAGTGATGCTGACTCGACTCTACTTCCCCCTTCTCATCCTCTACTGCGCCCTTCTCATTTTGCCTTCAATCTTTCCCAACATCTGGATCTTTTCCAATGAATTGGCTCTTCGAATCAGGTGGCCAAACTATTCTAGCTTTAGCGACAGTCCTTCCAATGAATATTTGAATATTCAGTGTGGATTGACTGGTGTGATCTCCTAGCTGTCCAAGGGATTCTCAAGAGTCTTCTCCAGCACCACAGTTTGAAATCATCAATTATTTGGCACTCAGCCTTCTTTATGGACCAGCTCTCACACAGTAGTATAAAAGAATGAGGGATCTTCACATACTTACAGTAACACTTTACCAGGATATATTGTTAAATAAAGGAATCAAGTTGCAGGATAATGTCTATGATGTGATTCCACTTATGTAAAAAGAAATAGATCAATTCTATATTAGTGGTACTTGTATAGAAATTCATAGAAAAATTAAGGGGATTTAAAATTCTCCATTTAAATGTGTTACCTTGTTTTAATTTTTACTATATTTAGTACATATTATTTGTATAAATTAAAAAAATGAAGAGCCAATAGTTATTTAAAGATTTCTTAATCTCAATTTTATATGTTCAGCAATATTAAAAAGAATGACACATTTCAATATCTTCAAGACTTTGACCTGTCATAAAAACAAGTTCAAACCCTATAGTTTGGTTCCATGAAAATATTTTACTTCTGTTTGTGCAGAGATATCTGGAAGAATATTTATAGACATTTTACTAGTAGTCACTTTTATTTCAGGTGATTTTGACTTTTTTTTTCCTTTTTTTCTTTTTTCTTATTTGGCTGCACCCCACAACTTGTGGAATCTTAGTTCCCTGACCAAGGATCAAACCCAGGCTCCCTGCATTGAGAGCATAGAGTTTAGCCACAGGACCACCAAGTTACACCGCTATTTTTGAAGACAGAAGAGGGTGTCATGAGCCAAGGGATACAAGAAATGCAGCTCTAGAAGCTATGAAAAGACAGGCAATTGATTCTTCCTTAGAGCTTCTGGGAGAGAGTGGGCCTGCTGACACCTTGACTTTAATCCAGTGAAACTGATTTTGGAATTCTGACTCCCAGAGCCATAAGATAATAAATGTGTGTTGTTTTAAGCCACTAATTTCATGTCAATCTGTGACAGAAACTAATAGAAAACTAATAAATTGAGGTTGTTGGGAAAATCTGTTTCCTTGCCTTTCTAGCTTGTAGCAGCTATCCATATTCCTTGGCTCATAATCCCCTTTCTCTATCTTCAAGGTTAGCAATGGCAAGTCAAGTTCCTTCTCAGAAGGTATCACTCTGACATCTTCTTCCTCCTTCTTCTACTTTTAAGAATCCTTGTGATTATACTGAGCACATCCAGATAATGCAGGATAATATTGCTGTATTAAGTTCAGTTGATTAACAACCTCATTTCCATCTGCAACCTTAATTGTCCTTTGCCATGTAACATACACCTCCAGATACTATGACATGGGTGTCTTTGTAAGGCCGTTGCTCTGCTCACAGGGGGTTAATCATTCACTTAGTAAAGTTGAACGTGTTAATCAACACTCTGGCTTGGATAGTTCCTCACCTCAATCCAGAAATGGAAAGAAGTTAAAATATTCAGGACTTTGCCTGGCCGGATTGGACTGGAGTGGGGCTGAGTGAGTGATGGGATTTAAGAGTGATTCCATGGTAGGAACTGTGGATACACAGAAGGGCAGAAGATTGGGGATGATGATTCTGGGTCTGGACATTTTAAATTTGAAGTGCCCATGGCACCTGCAGCTGAAAATGCCTCGCAGTCAGTTTTGTATGAGTATATGGAGTGTGGCCTTCCCAGGTTGCTCAGTAGTAAAGAATCTTCCTGCCAATGCGGGAGACCCAGGTTCGATCCCTGGGTCAGGAAGATCCCCTGGAGAAGGGAATGGCAACCCACTTCACTATTCTTGCCATGGACAGAGGAGCCTGACGGGCTATAGTCCATGGGCTTACAAAGAGTCAGACATGACTGAGCAACTAACACAGACACACACAGTATAGCTGATAGCTGAAACCACGTGTGTAAGGTATGTTAAGCAGGGCAGGAGAGTGAGAGGCAAAAAAAGCAGTGAGCTAAAGACAGAATGGGAGGGAAATCCTCACTGTAGAGGAAGTTCTACTATACCCTCACAGTTCCCCCCTTCACAACCAAGGCACTCCCCAGCTTCTAGGAACACTGACTGTGGACTGCTCCCAGCTCTGTCCGAGGGATACCACTTCTCTAGAATTGCCCTACACCCAAGGGAGATGCTTTGCCCTACTTTGAACCCATTCTGTGGGGATATCCCTCATCCAAGGAATGATCAGTGTAGAAATCCAATCCCTTGGCCCCTGTGCATCAATTTGTGACATCAATCAAGGACCACCTAATTCAAGAACTCTGTACCATCAGTGGAGGCTTCTGTTGCAGCTGCATCACAGTTCAGCTTGTCTCTTGCCTTATCTCCCTCTCCTACTGATAATCATCTTCCTGAAAGCAGTCCAAGCACACACCTGCATTCTTCTCCATTTTAGTGTCCATTTCCAGGGAAGTAGCTCACACTAATCCTCTCACATTTAGTGGGACAGCAGGAAAGTTTAATTTTGTGGAAGGGACAGTAAGCAAATGAATTAGAACACTATTAAGAGAGTGCAGTCTTTGAACTGCGAAATGAAACAGTGTCACATGCTGCAGAGATGTTTGGTGAGATGATGACTGGACCAGGATGAGGGAAGAAGACACACTAAAGTATGGTGATGATACTTAAAAGTTAACAATCGGTGACAGGTAATCGTGAGGGCAGTCTGTGCTTGGGCAAAGATTGGATGTTGGGATTGAATTCAGAATGGGGAGGAGGCAGAGAAGAACACAGGAACAAAAAATGGGAGAAACTCAAGCATTTTAAAGGTGCGTTCATTTGTTAAAAAAATAAATAATTAACAAATTAATTAGCATTTAATAAGTTAATAGATATTTATGTCTATTATATAAATCGGTAGTCATATGCAAGTGATCTGACTGCCCATCAGGCACTCAATTTGTCCTCAAGGAATTTACTGTCTGAAAGGGATGAAAGGAGGCTGACTAAGGGTAATTGACTAGGGACTGCTAGGCAGTAGGAAGGCTCCAGATCAATTTATAGTCTGTTGGCAATAAGTCTGCATGCCAGTCAGTCTGCTGGCAATAAGTCTGTTGTGCTTCACTGCAGGGCAGAGGAACATTCAATGAAGATTGTCAGGGTTTTTAGAGTGGAAGGATAGGAAACCAAAGTTCCCATTTGGATGACCAATCTTGTGACCCAGGGGAAATAGGCCAGAAAGGACCTAAAAGAATTGAGAGACTATTTCACCAAAAGGTTTTTTTAGATCAAAAATCTGCAATGTTGTGAGATCATGAGAGAATGATAAAGGATATATGTGATGTAGTTAGAGACTGAGTTTTGGAGTTTAAGGCTTCTGAGGGCTATAGCCTGGTTCATTGGTCCTCCATGATATTGGGCTAGTTTAGGCTTATAGCAGGGTTTAGGGTGCAGATGGAGCCTTGTAGGCTGCAGTCCATGGGGTCGCTAAAAGCTGGACACAACTGAGTCACTTCACTTTCAGTTTTCACTTGCATGCATTGGAGAAGGAAATGGCAACCCACTCCAGTATTCTTGCCTGGAGAATCCCAGGGACTGGGGAGCCTGGTGGGCTGCCATCTATGGGGTCGCACAGAGTTGGACATGACTGAAGTGACTTAGCAGCAGCAGCAGCAGGGTGAAGATAAATGATGTAAATCAAGTCAGTGTCTTTACTGAGTTGTGAGAAGGAGCCAGAGGTCAATAGAGGGGAAGAGAATTATGAGGGAGCTTGACATCAAATAGATGAAGCATTAATAGGCAAGTGTCCATTGAAATAAATAGATGAACATTTTGAGGAGATAGATGCACTTGTTAACATTGAAGCTAGAGTTCCAGGGCGTACAGTGAAAAAAAGGGAGGGAGGTGATTGTTAGGAGGAATCTTGGAAAAGGATGTTCAGGATAATAAGGATATGAGGGCACAAAAGCAGATTGTAGTTTGTAGGACTTCCCTTCCCTAAGAGCACAAGGTTTAGAAATATGGTAAAAAGTGACTGACCCCAAGTGATTAACTTGACACAGGTTGTCTTGAGTCTATACAACTTGGCACAAGTTGTTTGCATTTACCAGAGGCAGTTAATTATTACTGGCGATAAACTCAAAAAGAGGTTTCTAGATCACGTACAAGAAGTGAAAGTTTATTCAATTTTGGCAATGTAAGAAGTGGAATTTTTTTAATTAGAAAAGTATTAGCTTCTCACAACAGACAAAGGATTAATCTCAAAAATATGAAAGCAACTCCTCCAGCTCAACTCCAGAAAAATAAATGACCCAATCAAAAAATGGGCCAAAGATCTAAACAGACATTTCTCCAAGGAAGACATACAGATGGCTAACAAACACATGAAAAGATGCTCAACATCACTCATTATCAGAGAAATGCAAATCAAAACCGCAATGAGGTACCATTACACACCAGTCAGGATGGCTGCTATCCAAAAGTCTACAAGCAATAAATGCTGGAGAGGGTGTGGAGAAAAGGGAACCCTCTTACACTGTTGGTGGGAATGCAAACTAGTACAGCCACTATGGAGAATAGTATGGAGATTTCTTAAAAAGCTGGAAATAGAACTGCCATATGACCCAGCAATCCCACTTCTGGGCATACACACCGAGGAAACCAGATCTGAAAGAGACACGTGCACCCCAATGTTCATCGCAGCACTGTTTATAATAGCCAGGACATGGAAGCAACCTAGATGCCCATCAGCAGACGAATGGATAAGGAAGCTGTGGAACATATACACCATGGAATATTACTCAGCCATTAAAAAGAATTCATTTGAATCAGTTCTAATGAGATGGATGAAACGGGAGCCCATTATACAGAGTGAAGTAAGCCAGAAAGATAAAGACCATTACAGTATACTAACACATATATATGGAATTTAGAAAGATGGTAACAGTAACCCTATATGCAAAACAGAAAAAGAGACACAGATGTATAGAACAGACTTGTGGACTCTGTGGGAGAAGGCGAGGGTGGGATGTTTCAAGAGAACAGCATCGAAACATGTATATTATCTAGGGTGAAACAGATCACCAGCCCAGGTTGGATGCATGAGACAAGTGCTCGGACCTGGTGCACTGGAAAGAGCCAAAGGGATTGGGTCGAGAGGGAGGTGGGAGGGGGGACCGGGATGGGGAATACATGTAAATCCATGGCTAATTCATGTCAATGTATGACAAAAACCACTACAATATTGTAAAGTAATTAGCCTCCAGCTAATAAAAATAAATGAAAAAAAAAGTATTAGCTTCTCTTCTATATGGTATCTTATTGTCTTAATTTTTACTGATAAATTGAAAAGAAAAACTAAAGCTGCTAAGCCTTGTGCATTAAAAGCATTTTTAAAAATTGCTGAAGTTAATATAAACAATATTATACAGTGGGGTAAGGAGAACTTTTACTTCAATGGATTCAGTAGAAATTAAAGGATGGATTTTTCTTATTAACAGGCACAAAGCAATGCTCTCGGGCTTTAACTTTGTGCTACATTACTGGCCAGTTATTGGTCAGAATCCTGATTTTGTACAGGTTTCCATTTTCACTCTTCAATATATTCTTCACGGGTTTGGAAATGGATCTTGTGATGATTAATTTTTTAAATTAATTAATTAATTTGGCTGCTTCGACTCTTGGTTGTGGTATGTGGGATCTTCCATCCTTCTGCTGGAATGTGGCCTGTGGGATCTACTTCCCTGACTAGGGGTCAAACCCGGGTCCCCTGCATTGGGAGCTCAGAGTCTTAGCCACTCAATCACCAGGGAATTTCTGTGATGATTACTTTCATGTGTCAACTTTGGTAGGCTATAGTATTAAGTTATCTGATCAAGTACTAACCAAGGTGTTGTTGTTAAGTATTTTTTAGGTGAGGTTAACATCTATGAGTTGACCTTGAGGGGATTATTTTTGTGACATATATGTGTATATATCTCTATCTATATATCTATTCCCTATTAGTCTGTTTTTCTGAAGAACTCTGACTGATACAGACCTGATTGGTATAAGGATAAGTTTAACCCTGTGTTAGCAATTGGTTCTGGACCAGTATGTGACCCAGATTGAACCAATAAAGTGTGAGGAAATGTTTGATCTGGGCTTCTAGAGTACTTCCCCATAAATCTGTGAGAGTTTCCACTAGTACCTGCCTCTCTCTTCCTCTGACAGTAGTTTCTCTAGACATGAGGCTTGGAATGGATGCATCTCTTTCCCTGTCAGGTTGAGGATGAAGCCAACACACAAAGAAGGCAGAGCCAAGACACTTTCAGAGACATGGAGCTGGGGCTGCTGGTTTAAATCAGCACTGAAGCCTGTACTGCCTCTGAGATTCATAATCCAAACCATGTATCATATTTCCTCACTGTTTATGTGGTAGTTGGGTTTTCTGAGTCCTGTAGCCAAAATTATTCTACCGAACACAACACTTTGCCTTAAGATGAGTTCTTTGGGATATTAAGAAGCTAGTAGGTTTGATCTGTCAGTTGAAATTTATGTCCTGTGTGGATACATTTTTAAAAAAATAATATTTGCATATTAGGGATTTAAAAACAGGTAATATAAATCAAAGAATAGCTTTTAACTGAATCTTTGCAAGTTAGGTAATGTGTTTTTTGTAAAGTTTCAATGTGTTCTGTTAATTTGCTTTAGAAGTGTTAAGATTCTTAAGATTCCAGTGGACTTATAATATCATACCCAATCTTTTTTAAAAAATTGGGGTATAGACGCTTTACAATGTTATGTTGGTTTCTGCAGTACAAAAAAATGAATCAGCTATATGTACACATATATACCTCCTCTCTTGGACTGCCTTCCCACCCCACGTCCCCATCCCATCCCTCTAGGTCATCGTAGAGCACCAAGCTGAGCTCCCTGTGCCTACTAGCTATCTTCTTACACATG